GGCGTCGTTGCCAGCGTCGTCGTCGGCGTCGGCCTTGTCGTCGTCGTCGGCGGCGGTGGCGGCGGGGGCTTTGGCGTCAGCGTCTGCGTCGGCGGCGTCGTCGTTGTCGGCTTTGTCGTCGTTTGCGGCGGCGGCGTCGGCGTCGTCGTCGTCGTCGGCGGCATCTACGTCTTCCTCGTCGTCGTCGTCGTCGTCGTCGTCGACGTCGGCGGCGGCGGCGGCTGCGGCTTCGGCGTCTGCGTCGGCGGCGGCGTCGTCGTCGTCGTGGACGTCGTCGTCAGCGGCATCGTCGTCGTCGTCGTCCTCGCCGTCGTCGTCGTCGTCGTCGTCGTCGTCGTCGTCGTCGTCGTCGTCGTCGTCGTCGTCGTCGTCGCCGTCGTCGTCGTCGTCGTCGTCGTCGTCGTCGTCGTTTTCGTCGTGGGTTGCGGCGGTGGCTGCGGCGGCTTCGACGTCGGCGTCCGTGGCGGCGTCGTCGTCTTGGGCGTCGGTGTTGGCGTCGTCGTCGTCGTCGTCGGCGGCAGCGGCGCTGGCGTCGGCGTCAACATCGCCGTCGTCGTCGTCGTCGTCGTCGTCGTCGGCGTCGTTGTCATCGTCATCGTCATCGTCGTGGTCGTCGGCGGCGTTGTCGTCGTCGGCAGCGTCTGCGTTGGCGTCGGCATCGTCGTCGGCAGCGGCTTCGGTGTCTGCGGGGGCGTCGTCGGCGTCGTCGCTGGCAGGCCGTCGTCGTTGCTGTGGGCGTCAGCGTCGGCGTCGACCTCGCCGTCGATCTCGTCGTCGTCGTCGTCGTCGTTGTTGTCGTCGTCGTCGTCGTCGTCGTCGTCGTCGTCGTCGTCGTCGTCGTCGTCGTCGTCGTCGTCGGCGTCTGCGTCGACCTCGCCGTCGTCGTCGTCGTCGTCGTCGTCGGCGTCGTCGTCGGCGTCGGCGTCGACCTCACCGTAGTCGTCGTCGCCGGCGGCGGCGGCGGCGGCGGCAGCGTCGTCGGCGTCAACCTCGCCGTCGTCGTCGTCGTCGTCGTCGTCGTCGTCGTCGTCGTCGTCGTCGTCGTCGTCGTCGGCGTAGCTGTCGTCGTCGTTGTCGGCAGCGTTGGCGTTGCCGCGCGGTCTCGCGCTCTCCTCGCCACCTGACGGCTGCTTGACGGGAGCTGCTGCAGAGGCCAGGCGCTCGTCCTGCCGAGTTCTGCCATCGGCCCTTCGAAGAGGGGGGTAAGCCTCGGGGCGTTCATGGCCTCTCGTGGGCCAGGGCGCCCTGGGGGCGTCCTTTTTCATCCAGTGCATCTTTTAGAGAGAGGGGGGAACGCGACATCCTATGGTCAAAATCCCATATGTCTTTTTTCAGTGCAGTGCCGAGGCACTGGAATGAGCGTGGCTCAGGGCGGAGGGCCACCCCGGGACGTCCTATGGTCAGGACGCATGGCGGCAACAAAACTCACCAGCGACCGCTGCTCGGAGGGAGCTGCTGCGAGCGGGGAGTTCCTCCTCCCTCCTCCTCCCTATCCTTCTCCTTCTCCCGACCAACTGCATCAGAGATCTTCCTGATTCTCGGCGGCCTGGGGGTGGGGGTGATCGGGCTAATGCTGGTAAATACCTGCAAACCGCCAATCAGGATTGTCAGGTTCTCATGAACACTGCGGGGCCGCCTTTGAGGGCATTATTTACTGGACGAATACATGTAATGCAATGCCATGACACGCAATTCAGCGAGATGTCACGCAATGCAGTTCACAGTACCGGTACAGCGCAGAATTGGGTAACGAAAAGCATGGTACCGCCTGGCATACCATGGCACCGTAGCATCGTGTAGCACAGAAGAGCATCATGAGAGAGAGAGAGAGAGTAGCATGGCATAACGCAAGATATTATGGCATAGCGTAACATCGCAGATCATGGCATTACGTCGATCGCCGTTGCATACATCATCATGCATTCGCATAAAGCAACATGGTGTTCCATAGCCAGGCATGACAAAACATGAAACATGAATTCATACCGCTGGCAACACAAACACCCGAATCTGACATAACACGGCATTGCACAACATACCGAAATGCACCATACCATCGCGTACCATAGCATACGTCGCAGTCGCATGTCGCTAGCATACTCCAGATTTCGTAATACAAGGGAGGGGGTCTGGACCCTCCAAGACAAGCCATTTCAGACCCCCCCGTGGGAGAACCCTCCAAAACATCGTCCCCAGACCCCCCCAGGCCCCCCAAGATAGCCTGGAAGAGACCCCCCCGAAATGAGACCCCCCTCCTTTTATTACGAAATCTGGAGTACCAATAGACGTAACATAACGTATGCCGCCTGAGAAAAACATGCACATGCCATATCACGACACACCATAGCATACCCTAGCACGACGTGGCATTAGCTTTGCGCGAGGAAGCGGCGCCCAGGGGAAGCAGCCAGATAACTAGGCACTCTTGTTGCACACGACCCCTTTCTGCACAACTCAAGGGGCCCCAGGACACACAAATAAATACACACAAATAAAACTATTCCCCATATTTTCCCATATTTTCTGGGTTTCTGTCTTCCCCCCCACTTCCCATATTTCCCCATATCTTCTGGGAAATCGAGAATTAATTGTGTCTGTGTGATTCTTTTCCTCCTGAACAACGTAGCTCACCTGCAGAAAATCCGCCACCGCGTTTGCAGCGGTTGGTGTGCGTCGGGGCCTTTCGCTTTCCGCGGCACAATCATCAGGCCCCCCTGGCGCATCGAGGCCAAGATGCGCTCAATGTTGTAACCAAGTCTTTGCGATTTCAGCCTTGCAAGCTGAGAATGGCCCCACATGCAACGACCGGGAAGGGGTTTCCGTGGCTCCTCCGGTGGGTGGACAACATATCATAAGTTATCTGTGCGTTCTGAGAAACAGCGTTCAAACTTGGATCAGATTCCATCGATCTCTGAGGACCCCTCCACCCCACATGTCAATGCTGATTTGCATTATTTCGCCCATCTGGACTTGGGGTGCTCGCTTGATGCCAACATTGACATGTATGGGGCGGGGATGGTTCGTCGAGGTGGCGTCGCGACGTAGATGCATCCGCACGGGGCCAGAAGCAACTTGCAAAAATTCGTCGTCCCACCGTCCCCCCATCCCCCCCCCCCGCCCCAAGGCCCTCCCGCCCCCCGCGCCCGCCCGAGCGCGGTGGCGGAATCGCGCGGTTGCGCAATTGGCTTCAGTGAGATATCCTAGGTCAAACCTCCCTAGGGGATATCGACACCCACGGCAGCTCAGCACGCAACAAATTGTGGCTGTCTGGGCAAAGCGTTCAAGGTGACGTGCGAGTGAGTGGGAGACACGGTCTGCGAATGCGTGCAAGTCGTGTTCTCAGAGCCCATACGCCGGCCTGACCACTACAACCGCTCACTTGAGCACTAAAGCCGCTCACCAATGCCTGGGCGTATTCTTGAACTCTCTCCTTCGATTTGCCAAGTCTTCGGGCAGGAGGCGACTTCGTCCTGGTCTGATTCTTCGAGTTCTTTGACTCCGAGAGCTGGTCTGGTCACTACATGCCGAATTTCCATGTCGTCAGGGGTACAGTGGGGAGGTGACTGCGACTGGGTCGTGCCTGCGAGGCCGAGCGCTGCCCAATGTGATGTGAACTTCTGGCGCGTGTCCGATGTAACCTGCTCAGACGGGAGGAACTGCGTCGGGGTCAATGCGTAGAGAGAGAGAGAGAGAGAGAGGGAGGGAGAGAGAGAGAGGGATATATGTATGAGACAGAGAGAGAGAGAGAGAAAGATAGGGAGAGACAGAGTGAGAGAGAGAGGGAGAGAAAGAGAGGGAGAGAGAGAGCGAGAGAATGAGAGTGAGGCAGAGAGAGAGAGAGAGAGACAGAGACAGAGACAGAGACAGAGACAGAGACATGCTCAAGAAGGACACACTCCGTTTTCATTGGGCGGGGGTTACAGCAAGGTCTCCTATATGGTATATGTTTATGTGTATCCTGTGTGCGAGAGGGAATGTATGTACGCATGTACCTGTGTACGCACGAGCGTGTGGAATTGCACCTGTTGCGGGTTGGTGGTTGGACGGGCGAGGAGGGCCACGCGTAGGAAGCGGGAGGGAGCGGAGGGAGGAGCAGGAACGACAATGGAAACGAGCTGTACGACGCTACAACAGACGGGTAACGCCACACCGAGGGCGTGGGCGGTGTGTGCGTGCGTGGGCGCGCGCGCGTCTGTGCGCTCCGCAGCTCAGCTCCGCCGTCCACTCGCTGCCCGCTTGGGCCCTCCGCGGCGCCGCCCGAGGGGCAGGGCGGTGGCCACGCCGCCCTGGCCGGGGGCAGCGCCGCCACCTCCCCGAGAATCGCCATCCCGCTCGCGACCTCTCGCGGCCTCAAGCCTGGGCGCTAATCTCCCGCTCTCCTTTCCGCCGCACCTCCGCCGCCCCTCGCTGCTCGTCCTCCCCCGCCGTCCACCCACACGTGGCTGTGACCCGCTCGCCCTTTGGAAGCGCGCCTGCCACCTTGGTCGACCGTTCACGTTGTCGGACACGCTCGCCGTAGTTCCCCCACTTGTGGCGGGACCCTCCCCCCGGCCGTCGCTTCCTCTCGTCCCTCGTCTTACCATCTCATGGTCATCCACGCCAGGATGGCCCTTGGTGCGGCTTTGTTCTGAGGCTGGCGCGTGCGGGGTACTCGACTTACTCCGCCTCGTCGCTGCGCGCGAGGCCGCAACCGCCAAACGAGTGTGTGTGTGTGTGTATGTGTGTATATGTGTGTGTATATGTGTATGTGTGTATGTGTGTGTGTGTTTATGTATGTGTGTGTGTGTGTTTATGTGTGTGTGTGTGTGCGTGCGTGTGTGCGTGTGTGCGTGCGTGCGTGCGTGCGTGCGTGCGTGTGCGTGTGTGTGTGTGTGTGTGTGTGTGTGTGTGTGTGTGTGTGTGTGTGTGTGTGTGTGTGTGTGTGTGTGTGTATGTGTGTGGTGTGTGTGCGTGCGTGCGTGCGTGTGTGTGTGTGTGTGTGTGTGTGTGTTTCCCTTGGCGGGGGGTAATCCGTTTCTGCTCCCTTTGCGGGGGTAATGCGCACCACTGCCCCTGCGCGGGGGGGGGGGGGGGGAAATTCGCACGTTTCACAGCCAGTCTTGCCGCCGCTGTGTGCCTGACCTCCTCTCGCCTCCACCTCGCTCTGTCGCCGTCGTCCCATCCCCTCCCCGCCGCCACCCCCCTTTCCGGGGGCACGGCCTCCGCGTGCCTGGTTCCCCCTCGCCCTCCGCGCCCCTGTCTTTTCCCGTCCTCCTCCTCTTCCTCCTCCTCCTCCTTCCTTCTCCTGCTCCTCCTTCTCCTCCTCCTCCTCCTTCTCCTCCTCCTTCTCCTCCTCCTCCTCCTCCTCCTCCTCCTCCTCCTTCCTCCTCCTCCCCTCCTCCTCCTCCTCCTCCTCCTCCTCCTCCTCCCCCTCCCGCGGCACCGCCTCCGCGTGCCCCCGCCAGGCAGGCCCTCGGCCGCGCTGCGGCTCCGTATTCCCCCCCCCCCCCCCCCCCCCCCTCCCTTTAGTGTCGTGCCTCCCTGCCTCCTTCTCGTCTCCCTCCTCGGCGGGCTCCCTCGCCCCCTCGTGCCCTGCCTCTCCCCCCGTTGTGCGCGCGTGGCGCCTCCGCCCTTCCCCGTGGTTCCCCCCCCCCCCCCCCTCTCCCTCGCCCATCCCTCGCGCCCGTCCCCGTCGCGTCCGTCCGTCTCCTCCCTCGGCTGCCCGCTGTCGCCCCTCGGCTCCTCGCCGATCCCTCGCTTTGCTTGGCCTTAAGTCGGGCCTGTCCCTCGACAGGGGAACATTCAAAAACAGTAAAAAACAACTCGGGGGGCTATTTTTCGACTATTTTTTCCACTGCGTTTGATCATGTTTGGGGGTATGTTTTATTTTCCGTCCAAAAACCGCCTGAAGGGGGACACGCCCGACCTAAGCTTAGCCCGTCCTTTCCCTTGCCTGACCTTCTGTCGTCCTCATTCGGGCCGGCTTGGCCGCTGCTTTGCTCTCCCGCCGCCAGCATTTGGCGCGGCCGCTGGCCTTTCCCTTCCTATTCGCCTGACTGCCGGGCGCACGCTCGCGGCTTGCCGCGCGGGCGTTCGACGGCGAGGAGTGTCTCCCGCCCGCGACGACCGAAAAGTGTGTGTGTGGATGTGTGTATGCTTGTGTGTATGTGTGTCGTGTCTTTGAGGCAGGCGCGACCAAGCATTCCTATACCGGATGCACCATCTGCAACGCCACATTCGATATGTTACAACAGTGCCAACGCTGCACTTCTGACGAGCAGAGTTTACTGAGATTCCGACCTTTTCGTCGGGCCCTCAACGAGACCTCTTGCTGGAGTCTACGTTCCCCCCGGTGCTGGCAGCTGAGCCTCTTGCGCTCTGTCCGTAAGCCACGATGTCCTCAGGTGGCACACCCGAAGCGATGACGTGGTTGTATGCAGCCTGCGGGCGGGAGCTGGAGGAGAAGCATGCACAAGAGATCGCGGTTGATGATCATGATTGATGATCATGACGATGAGGAGTCTTGGAGCTGGCCCTTCTCTCCCCCCCCCGCCTCCTGCTGTTCCTCCTTCCCCCTCCTCCTGCATCTCATCCTCGTTTTCCTGAGTGGGGCTGCAGGTCAGAGGGTGCAATGCAGCACCATTGTTCACGGACTCGGTGATGAATCCGCCTTCTCCCTCTCCTGCTCCTCCCTCCTCCCTCCTGCCTCCTGCCTCCTCACTCCTCCTCCTCCTTCTCCTCTGAGTCTTCCTCCTCCTCCTCCTCCTTCTCCTCCTCTTATTCTCCTCTCTCCCTCCCTCCCTCCCTTCCTCCCTCCCTCCTCCCACCTCTCCCTCTCTCCTCCCTCCTCCCTTCTCCTCTTCTCCTCTCCCTCCTCCCTCTTTTCTTCTTCTCCGCTCCCCCTCCTCCAGTCATCTTGGCTTCAATGCCAGGCCGCCCCGACTTTGTCCTCCTTGTCGCTTTGTTCACCATCCTCTCTGCTGCTTCTACCTGTTCCTCCTCACCTCCTCCCTGGCAGGAGGGGGAGGAGGAGGAGAAGGAGTACAGGGAGGCGAAGGGGGAGGGGAAGCAGTGGCTTCCGCGTGCTCCTCCTCCCATCTCCTGCTCGTCCGTGCAAGCCTGGCGGACATCTTCACAGCAGGGTCCTGCGTGCAGCTGCAAGCGCTTTTGCTCGTCCCGATAGCTGCCTACCCTTTGTGCCGCTCGCTCTTCCGCCCCCGCCGTCCTTCCCCGACCCTCTTCCCCATAGATGTCTGGGGCCACATCGAAATCCCAAACCGACCGCCACGATAGCGATACCGAAACTGACACCGACCGAAGCCGAGGGGCCGAGAACATCCCAAGAGGGCGCAACGGCGCGGCAGCCGACGGAACGGAACCGACCAAACGTGGCCGACTGCGAAGCAACCCGACCGACGGAACCACGGACGCCCTTTTGCTTGCGTCCTTCCTTTCGCCTCCGCTCGTTCGCCTCCGTCTCCGTCCTCCCCCGTCTCCTTTGAGGTGCCCAGTGCGCGAAGAAGCAGACTGGCGGCTGGACGGCTTCGTGGGCTCGGGCCGCCTCGATGTCGCCGTGAAGCTTTCGGGTGCTCGGAGTGCCGGAGGACATGCCGTAGCCGCTGTATTCGACGCCCACCACCTGCACGAGGACATCCTCCTCCTGCCCGTCCCCATCGTCGTCGTCGCCCTTCCTCCTCCTCCTCCTCCTCCTCCTCCTCCTCTTCCTCCTCCTCCTCCTCCTCCTCCTTCTCCTCCTCCTCCTCCTCCTCCCTTGCCTGTCGGGGGACGTCAGCTCGCTACTTCGCCCACCCTGTCCTGGCGGCCTGTGCTGTGCGCCCTCCCGGCTTGGCCAGGGACGCACCAGGTGCACCGATCGCGGGCCCGGGCTCGGCCGGGCCAGGACGGGCGAGGTGGTCAGTGGACGTCTACCGGTCCTGCTACTCCTGTGCTTCTCCCCGTCCTCGTAATTCACCTCTCCCCCCCTCCTCCTCCTCCTCCTCCTCCTCCTCCTCCTCCTCCTCCTCCTCCTCCTCACCTCCTTCTTCTTCTTCTTCTCCTCCTCCTCCTCCTCTCTCCTCCTCCTCCTCCCTCTTCTTCTCCTCCTCCCCTCCTCCTCCTCTCTCCTCTTTTCCTCCTCCTCTCCCCTCCCCTTCCACCTCCCCCTCCCTCCCCTCCTCCTCCTCCTCTCCTCCTCCTCGTCCTCCTCCTCCTCCTCCTCCTCTCCTCTCCTCCTCCTCCTCCTCCTCCTCCTCCTCCTCCTCCTCCTTCTCCTCCTCCTCCTCCTTCTCCTCGTCCTCCTTCTCTATCGTCGTGTCCCGCAAATATTCTGCCAAATGTTCCGCCAAATATTCCGCCAGATCTTCCGGCAGATCTTCCTCCCAATCTTCCGCCATATGTTTCTCCATATCTTCCGCCAAATTTATCTTCCAATTTTTTCGCCTGATCTTACGCCTGATCTTCCGTCAAATCTTTCGCCTGATCTTCCGCCAGATCTTCCGCCAGATCTTTCCCCAGATCTTCCTCCCTCAGATTTTCCCGCAGATCTTCCTCCAAACAATTCTCCAAATGTATCGCTTTGCGACCTCCGCCAGGGGGAGGAGGAGGAGGAGGAAGAGGAGGAGGGGGAGAAGGGGGAGAAGGGATAGGAAGAGGAAGAGGAGGTGGGGGAAGATAGCCGTGACCATTTTTTAAACTAGGTTTTCGACTATCACTCGCGCGATGACGGCAAGGCATGAAACAAACAAAGGATTTTAAACCATGTGATTTTAGAGTGGGTCCGCAAGATTGAAGCCGGGCATGCCCGTCTAGTTTTTTTTTGTTGGTATGTTTTTTGTTGTTTCTACAAAAACATGCGATTACTGTTACTATCATGTTTGAAACTATTACCGTAATTATCATTATCATTAGTACCATTATCATTATTGTTATTGCTACTCGATTATTATCACTATCTTTATTCATTTTCGTACCATTGCTATTTTCAATACTATTATAATGGTGATGGTGATGGTGATAATGATGATGATGATGCTGATGATGATGAGGAGGAGGAGGAGGGGGAGGTGGATGAGGAGGAGGCAGAGGAGGAGGATGAGGAGGAGGAGGAAGAAAAGGAGGAGGAGGAGAAGGAGGAGGAGGAGGAGTTAAAGTAGGAGGAGGAACATGAGGTGGTGGAAAAAGGAAATGCAAGAGGAGGATTGATTGGGGAGACGGAAGGGTTAGGGTTAGGAAGAGGAGGGCGCAAGACGTATGATGAGGGCGGATGAGGCAAGAAGAAATCTGAACGGGGGTCCGGATTGCCTTCTTCGCGCGGGCTCCGCTGGGTTTGGCGAGCGTGGGCGTAAGCAGCGGATGGCCGCGGAACTTCAAATTTGGACGCTTCGGGCCCGACTCTGCAGCTCGCCCACCCAGGAGGAGGGAGGATGAGGAGGAAGAGGAGGAGGAAGAGGAGGAGGAAGAGGAGAAGGAGAGGACCAAGAGGAGCAAGAGGAGGACCAAGAAGTGGAAGAGGAGGAGAAAGAGGAGGAGGAGGAGGAGGAGGAGGAGGAGGAGAAGCAGGAGGAAACGGAAGGTCAAGGACAGAGGAACATTTTTCTTTGTCGTCCTCTGATCTGGAGGCTCCAGAGGCCTCGGGGACCTCCTGGCAACTTCGCCTCTCTCGCTGCCCTCATCGTCGCGTCCCTCTACGCTTGATTGCGGCCTGCGGCTCGACATGTCTTAGGACAAGAACTCGCCGGGGCCCCAAGGCCCAGGGAAGCAGGAGGGCGTGCAGCGGGGAAGAGGCAAACCAAAAAGAGGAGGAGTACGTCACAATCAGCCACAAGGATGGAGTTCCAAGGATGCAAGACCGTTGGAACGCGCCGGCAAGGATCAAACAAGTGTGCCGACCCTCAGAAAACCCACGGATGCAAGGGACCCTGGCCAGGCCACATCCTTATCCCCCGCGCCAAAACGCATCGGATAATTCCCAACTTCCAGGTAAAACCAGGTAGACGTTGCTAAGGATGCCAGGGAAGCCTGCGAAGGCCGCATCCTTGTACTCATGCCGTCCGACAACGCAACGACCGCGGAAAGTCAGGGGATGCCTCTGGCAAAGACCTTGGCGAAAAGGGATTCATCCTTCAAACCAATTTACAAAATACAAAAACTAGTCATGACTAAGGGCAAACACCAAGGCGCCTCTACACCGAACTGGTTGGACATCTCGAGGTACGGGCCCATCATCATGCCTATGTCGGTAGCGTTGCCGTGGCAGTGCAGCAAGACCAGCGTCCGCTGATTGCCGATCTTTTGCTTTGGCTGGGGGAACTGGGGCACCGACGAGTCTGCGACCACGGCGACGACGACCTCAGCCACGACGGCGGCAAGAGGCGCCGCGAGACCCGGAGAACACCTCCCCGGGAGGAGCTCGGGCCACCTCCTCGGACCGCCACGGCCCGGCACTCCTCGGACGCCCCTCGGCCGAGGAGAGGAGGGGCCTGGAGCCCGCTGGGGGGGCTCGCGCCGTCAGAGCATGGGGTCAAGAACGTGAGACGAGAGCACAGGAGGAGGAGGAGGAGGAGGAGGAGGAGGAGGAGGAGGAGGGGGAGGAGAAGGAGGAGGAGGAGGACGTGAGACGAGAGCACGGGCCCCCTCCTCAAGGGCCCAACCGAGCGACGATTGAAAGCGGGTCTTGCTCGAGACGACATGGCGACCCTACGCGGCGGCTTACGCGCGCCGCCAGCGCGGCACGCTACGCTTGAAGCAAGGGCGCCTGCGCGCGAGCTTACGCGGGCAGCGTACGCGCCAATGCCGGCGCCAACGACCCCGCTTGTTGGCGTCGCTCAACTGCCTGATGAGGGTGCCCCGAGCGAACACCACTTCAGGGCTCAGATGCCAGACCTGAAACGACATGGAGGCGTACTCCTCCAGAGCTGGGGCTGATCTTGACCCTCGTGCCAGCTGTGGTCAGAACTAATGGGGCCGCTGCCGCTGCAACCCCCTCCAGGGCCCTCCAGGAACCTCCAGAGGCCTCCTCATCCCTTTCGTCCCTCGTCCCTCATTGGGGGGGGGCCCGAAAAGGGGGGGCACTGGCACAGAAGGGTGAACATCGGCCTTGAGTAGACGGGACATCGCCGATCGACCAGCGATATGCCCGCATCAGCGACAATGCACACATATATCCCAGGGCAGGGTGGGAGGCCCAAGCTCCAATCAGCGAGGAACAGGCGACTGGAAGTCGATGCTTCCCCCGAGACAGTTCCCCCCTTTCGATGCTCCCGAGCGGTCCCCCCTTTCGGCGCCCCCGAGTCTTGGGGGTGTCTTGGGGGGCCGAATCTTGGTGTGGACCATTGGGCACCAGCTGTCACGCTGCACCGCCCCCCACCCGAAGAGGCCGAGGGAGTCAAACCGTCGCGGTCAGATTCTCCTTTAGCAGATTGCGACTGGCGGCCGCGGGGTCGGAGCTCGAGGGCTAGGCATTCGGACGCCGCCGCGGAGAGCGTGCGGGCGCGTGCACTGTGCGCACGTCGTGAGCGGACATGTTGCCCAGACGCGTCTGACCCGCCAGCGGGATGAATCGCCAGAGCCAGGCGCCGTGAGTGATTGAGGTATTGAGCCCCAATGCGCACGGTCAGGGACTTCCACTCAGCGCATCGCGGCGGCGGCGCGGGCGACACGCTGTGCCCTGCGGAGGGACAGCGTGTCGCTCCGCTCCGCGTGCCACGGGAGGCTGGCGGCAGCTCGGGACGTTGCTGCTTGGACCGGGACGTGCTCAGCGTGCCGCGCCGAGGCGGGGTGGCCCAACACCGGCGGCGTCACCCTGACGACCCCGGGGCCCCCACCAGGGGCCCGCTCCTCCTCCCGAGCCGCTCTCTGCCGGTGCGCGGGGCCGCGGAGGGCCCCCCCGCGGGGCCCGAGGGGCGGGGGAGACCTCGGGGGCCCTCTGCCCGCAGAGCTCGACGCTGCTCGGGGCGGGCGAGAGGGGGGGGGGGGGACGGTCATGGGGGCGGGGGCAGCGGACTTCGGGGACCCAGTGCCCCGGGTGGATGCAGCCGCGGGCCAGTCGGGCCCTGCGGGATCCTGCGAACTCCTGCAGGATCCTGCAGGATCCAAGCCCGGGTCGATGCGGCGCCTCTGGCCCCGCAGGATTCTGCGAGATCTGGCGCCCTGGCTGACCCCCGTTTGCATGTACCCCCGTCTCCTGAGCCCCGAGGATCCGCCCACGCGGCTGGACTTCCCGGTGCCTCCGAGAAGAGGGTCCTAGAGGCCCCCCTTTCTCGGTCCCCTCCCTTCGCCCCCCCGCCCCCCTTCTCAGTCCAAGGGGCCCAGCAGCACACGAAGAAAGAGACACAAATCCCAGGATGCACGCCATTCCCACAACAGCTTCTGGGTCTTCGTCTTCTCCCCCCCACACTTCCCGCATTTTCCCATCTTCCCCTGGGTGTCTGTGTGCCTGTGTGTTTGTGTCCTGTGTGTCATGGGTTTGCGTCTTCCCCTCGACGATTCATTGTGCCTGTATGCTTTTTCCCTCCTGATCAGTCGGAGGAGGAGGAGGCGGAGAAGGAGGGGGAGAAGGAGGGGGAGGAGGGGGAGGAGGAGGAGGAGGAGGAGGAGGAGGAGAGAGGAGGAGGAGGAGGGAGGAGGGGGAGGAGGGGGAGGGGGAGGAGGAGGAGGAGGAGGAGGAGGAGGAGAAGGAGGAGGGGGGAGGAGGGGGAGGAGGGGGAGGAGGAGGAGGAGAGGAGGAGGAGGAGGAGGAGGAGAGGAGGCGGAGGAGAAGGAGTAGGAGGAGGAGGAGGCTCCTGCCCGTCTGCTCCGACTCCTGGGCCATCCCCCCGGCTCTCCAGTGGGGCCACTCGGGACGCGACCCGGGAAGCCCCGGAGCGCTCCGCGCGAGGCGCAGCCGCTGGAAAAAAAGCATCACGACAGGGCGGCATGGCATCAGAGTGCGTAGCTGTGGCTCTCATCTCTCCTCTCTCCTCTCTCCTCTCTCCTCCTCCTCCTCCTCCTCCTCCTCCTCCTCATCCTCCTCTCCCCTCCTCCTCTCTCCCTCCTCCCTCTTCCTCCTCCTCCTCCCTCCTCCTCCTGATCCTCCTGATCCTCCTGATCCTCCTCCTCCTCCTCCTCCTCCTCCTCCCTCCGTGTGTTTAACACGAGCGGTCGATGCCAATGCAGCACGCCCCTCTCATGAGCAGTTTGGCTGCTCACGGTCTCACCCTGCTCGCGCGCCGTGTGGACGCAAGGCTTCTGAACTGAACTGAACTGAACTGATAGGGCGGCATGCCGGTGGGAACCGGCGGAAAGGTCCGATAACCTCGAGCCTCGAACATCCTGGTTTTCCCTGCGGAGGAGGAGGAAAAGGAGGAGGAGCAGGAGGAGAAGGAGGAGGAGGAGGAGGAGGAGGAGGAGAGAACTCTACCCATCCCCCTTTTGTCCGCTCTAAGCTCCCTTAGTGCTGAACACCGCTGGACTGGCGACTCGCAGGGCCCAGCAAGCGGGGACACCGACGAACCAAGACATTTTGGCGCACCCGCGCACCTACAGGGACCGCAGCCGTGGGCCGAAACCGCTGGATCTTGCAGTGCCCTTGGGAGGCCCGGGCTGGAACGGATCGCGAAAACGGATCGGACCGGCAACAGGTCGGATCGCGCGTGAATCGTCGCGGAATCGGATCGGGATCGAATCGTCTGGGATCGCGAATCGGGCTCAGAGATGGACTCGTTTGGTGTCGGATCGGATCGTATCGAGGTTGAGATCGAAATCTGGGAATCGGGTCGGATCGAAACATTCATCATCCATCGTTCATTCCCGTTGGATCTTGGTTTGCAATGTCCTGGTTTGGAGGCCTACCACACGGGGTCCGTGTAGACGGGGTCGGAAAATTGCACCGCTTCGCCGATGCATCGGAGCCGTCGGCGCAGACAAGATCGGTTGCACATCGAGCCGCGTCGCCGATGCGCGGGCAATGCGGCGCGAGGTACTCTGGCCCCATTCGGCGGCACGCAAGACGGACCCCATGCAAGCGTGACCTTCGGATCGCGTTTTTTTAAGGGGACCACGGGGGGGAGGCAAGTCCTAGCGTTATGTCGGGCCTGTCCCCCTACAGGGGGATTTTCGAGGAAAAATAAAACATACACCCCAAAAAATCAAACACATACTCTAAAAATAATATGGGGACTATTTTTTGAGTATTTTTTACCTTTGTGGAATCTCTTTGGGGTATTTTTTTGTCGAACATCCCCCTGTAGGGGGACACGCCCGACATAATCCTAGCGCGTAGGCCAGCGCTGGGGGGCATCCCGTGGGCCCGTACCAAAAAGATAGTTACTCGGGCCCGCTTTGTCGGAGGAGGGTCAAGGTCGAGACAGCTGCTGCTCTCCAGCCCGGCCTAGATCCAGTCAAAATCGGCCCCCTGATCCGTCCTTCGGTCGACCCTGGATCGATCTTCGAGGCGGATCCGGCTGTGGCTGCGAGAAAGCGCCCAGGAGGCCCGCGGAGGGCAACCAGCGAAAGGAAGCACGGCCTCCGTCTCGACATGGCTCCCCTTGGATTTTGACAGGCCCCGGAGGAAGAGAAACGCACTCAGGCCAGCGCTGGGCTGCCAGGGGGCTGCTCGAGTGCCAGCGGAGCCGCCCGAGCACGGATCTGACTCATCGGCAGTGGAACTGCTGCCTCAGGGCCACAACGAATCTTAGGTCGGGCGTGTCCCCCTACAGGCGGATTTTGGGCGAAAAATTCAAAGTATACGCAACAAGTGCAACCAATTAGTCAAACATAGAGTATTTTTGGATTATTTTTGAATACTCGTCCTGTAGAGGGACGAGCCCGACTCAAAATGAGGTCCACACTCGGGCGTCCTGGTCGCCACCTGGAGGGGACCCAGCCGACCCGCATGTTGACCACATCCCCAAACCTCCGACGTCTGGGTTTTTCAGTGCGGGCTCTCTGGAGCTCTGCACCACTTGCTGGGGACTCTTTTTTTTCGGCCAGGACGGTTCTCTGACGGCCCTGGGGCCCGGTGAGAGCTGCCAGCCGAGCACGACGAGCAGTCTGATTCTTCTTGTTATCCACTGCGTTGGAGATCCGGGCCCTTCGTTGAGACTCGACCACGCGTGCACATTACAACACCGTGGAAAATCTCAACCAAAGCCCTGGGCCCTGTCTTTCTGGGTCGTTTCTCCGGCCCGATCGATCTGTGATGGCCCTGGGGGCCCCCGAACCCGGGTCATCACTCCACCCCGCCACTGAGCCGAGCATCCAGCAGGACGCGTGGGCAGAAGAGTGTGCAACTGGCAACTCTTCGGAAAATGCAACAAGAGCGATGGCGCAGAGACTCGACCGAGAAGCAGAAGCAACAACCGGGCGGGGAAAGGAGGGAGGGGAGGAGAGGGGGGAGGAAGGCAAGGGGGGAAAGGGAAAGGAGGGAGGGGAGGGAGGAAAGGGAGTAACAATAGAAGAAGAAAAAACGTCATCAACATAAACTTTTGACGCTTCGCGCGGATTTCTTGGATCTGCGCTGGACCCCCCGCCCTGGCGCGCGGAGCGCGCCAGGGGCGGCGCCGAAGGCGCCGCCAGGGGTGGTCCCAGCGCAGATCCAAGAAATTCGCGCGGAGCGCCACAATTGCCATCTTTTCGGGGATGGACAGAACCCCCTATAGTAAAACGCGGTTTAGTGGAAACGACCTCGGACCCAAATCTGGCGCGCGCAAGCCTGGAAAATGACGGCCGCGGCGACCTCTCGAGAACCGAAAGCGAAACATTCACGAATCGACGCGTCAGGGTGGGGGTTCTGTCCACCCCCGATTTTTTCCTTCGACGTACGGTAGAGGGAAACAATTCGTGAACACCCCCCCCTGCCCCCCGAACTCAAAGTTGGCACGCGCGGGGGAGACTGCGGTCGAGGTGCAACTCATCAGAGCCACCGCCAACTTAGAACATTGGGGGGAGGGGGAGGCGTTGACAGATGAATGCGGCATGCGTGTTCGCAATCTATTTCCGAGGCTTGTAGCCCCAGGCTCGAACCAATGAAGCGCCCTCTCGAGAACCGAAAGCGGAACAATCACGAATCGACGTGTCAGGGTGGGGGTTCTGTCCACTCCCAATGTTTTTCCCTTCGACATACGGTAGAGGGAAGCCATTCGTGAACCCGCCCCTGCCCCCCGAACTCAAAGTTGGCACGCGCGGGGGAGACTGCGGTCGAGGTGCAACTCATCAGAGCCACCGCCAAGTTAGAACATTCGGGGGAGGGGGAGGCGTTGACAGATGAATTTGGCATGAGTGTCCGCTATCTATTTCCGAGGCTTGTAGCCCCAAGCTCGAACCAATGAAGCGCCCTCTCGAGAACCGAAAGCGGAAAAATCACGAATCGACGTGTCAGGGTGGGAGTTCTGTCCACCCCCGATGCTTTTCCCTTCGACATACGGTAGAGGGACCAATTCGTGAACACCCCCCCTGCCCCCCAAACTCAAAGTTGGCACGCGCGGGGCAGACTGCGGTCGAGGTGCAACTCATCAGACCCACCACCAACTTTGAACATTGGGAGAAAGGGGAGGCGTTGGCAGACGAATGTGGCATGAGTGTCCGCTATCTGTTTCCGAGGCCTGTTAGCCCCAGGCTCGCACAACTGAAGCGCCCTCTCGAGAACCGAAAGCGGACAAATCACGAATCGACGTGTCAAGGTGGGAGTTCTGTCCACCCCCGATGTTTTTCCCTTCGACATACGGTGGAGGGAACAATTTGTGAACACCCCCCTTGCCCCTCAAACTCAAAGTTGGCACGCGCGGGGGAGACTGCGGTCGAGGTGCAACTCATCAGACCCACCGCCAACTTTGAACATTGGGGGGAGGGGGAGGCGTTGGCAAACGAATGTGGCATGAGTGTCCGCTTTCTGTTTCCGAGGCCTCTTAGCCCCAGGCTCGCACAACTGAAGCGCCCCCTCGAGAACCGAAAGCGGAACATGCACGAATCGACGTGTCAGGGTGGGAGCTCTGTCCACCCCCGATGCTTTTCCCTTCGGCATAGGAGGAGGAGGAGGAGGAGGAGGAGGAGGAGGAGGAGGAGGAGGAGGAGTGAGGAGGAGGAGGAGGAGGAGGAGGAGGAGGAGGAGGAGGAGGAGGAGGGAGGAGGAGGAGGAGGAGGAGGAGGAGGAGGAGGAGGAGGAGGAGGAATAGGAGGAGAGGAGGAGGAGGAGGAGGAGGAGGAGGAGGAGGAGGAGGAAGGAGAGGAGGAGGAGGAGGAGGAGGAGGAGGAGAGGAGGAGGAGGAGGAGGAGGGAGGAGGAGGAGGGGAGGAGGAGGAGGAGGAGGATAAGGAGGAGGAGGAGGAGGAGGAGGAGGAGGAGGAGGAGGAGGAGGAGTAGGAGGAGGAGGAGGAGGAGGGGAGGAGGAGGAGGAGGAGGAGGGGGAGGAGGAGGAGGAGGAGGAGGAGGAGGAGGAGGAGGAGGAGGAGGTAGGAGGCCTGAAGCTGCCAGAATCTCGGGCCCCCCCCCGCCCGAGCGCTCCTGCTCCCGCGGCGGGCTCCTCGCGGAGGCCGAGGTGGCCCCGCTCCTGGGCCGGCAGGGCGCCGCCCCCCCCCCGCCCCCCGGGCGGCGTCGGACGTGGCCCTCGAGCTAGGGGGTCCCCAAACGGGGTGGTGACCACACCATGTGGTGAGTCGGTGGGGATTCGGGACTCGGGTCCCTCTCCGAGGACATCTCGGGCAACTGGGGCCTCCGAGGTCCCAAGACCGTGCGGTGACGGACCGTGCGGTGAGAGGTCTTGGGGGATTTCGAAGTCACCGCACGGTCTGTCACCGCACCGTTTCGGGACTCCAGGCAAGCACGACGGGAGCAACCTAATTTTGGACGCGCGGAAGGGGTAAAGAAAAAAACCAGACATGATCGCGTCGTAAAAAAAATCAGGGCGGGAGGATTTTTGGCCATTTTCGGCCTCGGGAGGCCCTCGCCGGGCCTCGGGACCGTCAACACATGACTCAGGACGAAAAACCGGCCCCGGGGAAAGGGTCGGGACTTCCGGGGACGCGGTCCTGAAAAAATCAAGACGTCGCATGTCTGGGACTGGGTGCAATGCCCAACAACAAATCTTGTCCCAAACCAGCAGCGGCCGCTGTTGGGCAGGCGGCCTCCTGTCTCAAACGTGCACAAGGCCGCGGCAACACGGCCAGCGAGCCCTGTTCAAAAGGAGCAGGAACCGCTGTTGGGCATTGTGCCCATCATTTCCGTACCCATTTCGTTCGTGCCGACTAAGAGACCGTTTTTTTGAATCCGCTATAACCCGAGGGGGGGGGAGGAGGGGGCCGGCCGATAACCTACCCTCGCGGTGTGGGCAGCCCTTCATATGCCCGCGCCCCCCCCCCCCCCCCCATCTGGCGGACCTGCACAGCCGGCAAGGTCAGGTTCTCCTGGGGGTGGGGAGGGGCCAAGGCCGAGAACCCGGGTTATCGCCCGACCCAAAAAAGCAATCTATAATGCCACGCCAAGATCTCAGGGAGGGGCCATGAATTAAGTCGGGCCTGTCCCACTACAGGGGGATTTTCTGCGAAAAATAAAAAATACCCCGCAAATAATCACAAAAGAATCTAAGAATAGTCTGGGGACTATTTTTGGAATATGTTTTGGCCATTTTGGTGTATTTTTGGGGTACTTTTGAATTTTTCGTCGCAAGTTCCCCTGCAGGGGGACAAGCCCGACTTAAGCCATGGAGCGGCCCCCGCCCCGGCGCCCCCGGAGCCGAGGGACCCCCCTGGGCCCTCCCCGCCGCGGACCCCGGTCCAGGGCCCGCCTCCTCGCCGCGGGGGGGCCTCCCCGCGGGAGAGCCTCGCGGCCTCGGCCCCGAGGGGGGGGGATCCCGACGTGTCCCCCTCCCCCAGCCCGGCTTCTCGGCTTTGTTGGCGTCAGGGCTGGACCTATACGTTTTTTTTTTTTTTTTTTTTTTTTTTTTTTTTTTTTTTTTTTTTTTTTTTTTTTTTTTTTTTTTTATATATATATATATGTATTTATATATATATATATATATATATATATAAGTTAGTTAGTTACTTATAAAAAATGTATATATACATATACAAGTGTTTTTGTTGTTTATATATAAACTCGCGCAAGTGCGCACAGCCAAGCTGTACACACAGCAGCCTCCAGGGCCGCCAAGACCAAACCCCTCGGCCCGATCGACGCGCCAGGCAACACCACGGCAGGACCCCACAGCCCACGCCACAGCAGAGGCACGACGGCTCGCTCGCAAGCGAGGGCACGCGAAGCGTGCGAAATACACAACACTCTGGAGGCAAGGCCACGCGAAGCGTGTGTATGAATAAGCACACACGAGTGAGAGAGCATGAAACACCCGCGTGAAAAATGGGGCGCAACAGCGCCTGATGATCCAGAATACCGTATGTGAGACCAAGAAGACCTCACATAACGTGCACACTGAATGGCACAACAATGCCTGGGCCCACAATGCTCTCAGCCCAAGGTCAAGCCGTGACCCCTAGCCGATGAAATCCACGAAGAAGTCCTCATGACCATTGAGAATACCACGGATCCAGGCTAGCCCAGCGCGGCGCTCAGCAGGCGACGTCGGGGAGGGATCCACGGCGCCTGCATCTGCCGCCTGCCATCCAGGCCGTCGGAGGTCGCGGTCGTTGACGCTCGCTCGGCTGCTATCCGCCACGTGCCGCCGCAGCACTGCGAGCCGCAGGCGGGCCACCTGACGTCTATCTGCGGTATGCGGCATCACCAGGGGCGCCCTCGCGGGGTACCCTCCTGGCTGTGCCCCCCCCAAAAGGGGGGGTCCACCGAAGCCACTCCCGCAGGTGCGTCACCGAAGGGCCCGCCGACGTCCTGCTCCTCGAAGCCCTGCTCCTCGAAGCCCTCCTCCTTGTTCGAGCCGCCAGCCGAGAGCACGGAGCCTGATGCAATGCTCTCCCGCTCCTTCGGCTTGCTCCCGAACTGGACCATGTGGGGCGGCTTGACAGGCTCGGCGGAGGGCACGTCACACCGCTTCGACCGCGCCGTGCCGTCGTGCAGGTGCTCCTCTCCGTCGAGCTCCAAGTGCCACCAGCGGGGTCCCGAGGCCAGCGGAGCTGGCTCGGGCGTTGGCTCCCCGCGCGCCCGCTCGGCCAGGTCGAGGCGCAAGCCCGCTGGGAGGCTGCGCCCGCGCCTGCAGGCGACCTTCCAGTCAGTCGAGACGCCCTCGGCCGCAGACCGAGCCGCGGGGTGGCGCCGGTGGGGCGGGGCGCCGGCTGCCGGGCTCGACCGCCGGGCGCCGCGCCTCGGAGCCGCGCGCCGTCCACGCTGCAGCCGATTGAGCGACCGCAACCGCATGGCAGCGATGGGTGTGCCACGCCGCGCTGCGCAGTGGAGGCCAGCATTGCGCCTGGCAGCCTCCAGCGCCTTAGCGCGGGGCACGGGCGGGGCGGGCTGGGCGCCAGGCGCGCCGCTCGCCTGAGTGCCCATGTCCGCCGATGCGGCGCCGCGAGCAGGGCCGTCTGGCCTTCTGGCAGGGAGCGCGCCATGGGGCCGATCTGCGTCGCCGCCGTCGCCGAACTTGCAGTCGTGAACCGCCTGCCCGCCTGTCGGGCCGCCTGGCGCGCTGGCGGGGAGCGCGCCGCAAGGCGGAACCGTGCAGCCGAGAACTGGCTTCGCTCCCGAATCGCTGCTCGGGAGGCCGCTGGTCACAGGTGCATGCGATGATGGAGGGCCACCCGAGGCACCCGCCCGCCCACCGCCGCCCTCCTGACCCTCGGCACCCTGCGCGAGCATGTCCAGGAGAACTGGGACAGCAAGTGAGAGCCTGGTAACGAGCTCTTGGAGCAGCGTCGCACCAGCCTCGACTTCCCCGAGCCGCGGGGAGGAGATGCGGAGCGCTTGCCCTGCCGCCGTCGCGTGGAGGCTGCGGACCGCGGCCAGCTCCGCTTCGAGCGCGCCCACGCGCTCCAAGGCAGCGGCCAAGCGCCCGCACTCTGCCGCCCGCGCCGCGGCGCGCCTGGCGCGGCGAGCGGGCCAGAGCGAGCCGCCAGGGGCGCCAGCGCGGGATGCGCGGGATGGCTGCTCGGCCGCCGCCTCGGCGGGGGCGGCTCGGCAGCCGACCGCAGCCATTCCTCAAGAGGTCGACGCTCTGGCGCCCGCGGGCCAAAACCGAGAGAAGACAGGCGAGGACGGCTTGAGCCAAAATGGCTACGGATATACATATATAGGTGTGTGTGCTTGTTTGTGCTTGTTTTTTTGGTGTTTCCTTCTTCCGTTTTGTTCTTTAGTTTTTTTTTGCTCCCCTTGCCTTCCTGTGCCTCCCCTGCCAGAGCGCCAAACGAGGCACAGCCGAAGTCCAGCAAAGCAGCGTTTGGGTACAGCCCTGGTTGACGCGCAACGTTGAACGCCGCCCGCGACCCGGAAGCGGTCGACCTTGAGCGATCTGACGTTTCGGAAGCGGCAGTGCGCAAAAGGCTGAACGATCCCCGCGGTGTCAGAGACCAGCGCCGATGTCGGCACGACGCGAGCCTGCCGCATGTGTTTCTGTTTGCTCCTCGACCCTCTTCGGCGGCGAGCGAGGGGGGAAACGAGAAGGGAGGCCTTCTCGGAAGGCGGCGGGACCTTTCAGAAGCCCTTTCGCCTTCTGAGGAGGTCTTCTCTTTGTTTTCGGGGAAGGTTCATAACACTTCTTAGAGGGCCCAGGGGCTTCCGAGCCTTCTGAGAAGGCCTTCTCCTTCTCACTTCCCCCCTGGGCTCGCCGCCGACAGATACCCAGCGGGCCCCTGGAGAACCCCCGAAGAGCCTCCAAGAAACCCGTCTCTGCTCGGTCCGCGCTCCTGCTCCTTGCTCACGACCAGGCTGGCGCCACTCCTGGGTGCGTGCATGTCTCCAGTTGTGAGTCTGTCAATGGCGGTGGCTAAGCCGGCCCCTTTAGGGGGCCACGTGCGAACCCTACCCCTACCCCCCCCGATTTCTGAGGGGGAGGGTGGGGTTCACTTCGCTCGGGAGCTCCCAAACGAAGTGAACCCCACCCTCCCCCTCAGGAGTCGTGCGGGGTAGGGACAGGGTTCGCATGTGCCCCCCTACCCTTCTCATTTCCCCCCGGGTTCGCCGCCGATGATGACCCCGAGGCACGGGAAAGGCCCCCCGGAGGCCGAAGATGGCGAATAATTTTCCGTCGTGATCGCCTCATGACTCGAAGGTGCGCGCGACCCGCTCGAGCGCGGCCCGCCCGAGCGCAGCTCGCCCGAGCGCGGCCCGCCCGAGCGCGGCCCGCCCGAGGGCAGCCCGCCGAGCGCTCCGGGCCGGCCTGCGCCCCCAGGGGGGCCGACGCTTGGGCGACGCGTACTGGGGGGGGCGATGACTGAAGGGGGGACAAAGGCCCTCTGCGGGGCCCTGAAGGACCCCTTTTCTGCTGACCTCGCCGCCCCCTAATTTATCGCCCCCCACTTAATGTCCAGAACCAGCGAAAAAAATGATGACCCCCCCCCCTCCCCCCCCCCCCGGGGATCCCGACTGCCATGAATTCGCATCCGAATAACTGTTTTGTTATCTGCCCCCCTGGAACAAATTCCATGGATG